TGAAGCAAAGTCAGACTACATTTTCAAGAACACTCTAAAGAAAAGTGTAGTCCTACTCAGCACACAATGTTTTATGAGGTAGTGAGCTCTGCCAATGAAAGTGTTCAAGCAGAGGCTGAGAGCTGGCTACCTGCCACAAATACTCTAGTCTACTAAAGGATGTCTCGTGTGTGTGTGTGTGTGTGTGTGTGTGTGTGCAAATCTTCAGGAGATCCTGCTAAAAGACAGGTTCTGGTTCAGTTGGTTTGGGATGGGACTGTGATTCAGCGTTTCTAACTAGCCCCTTGATGGTGGTAATGCTCCTTATCAACAAACCTCACTCTGAATAGCAAGGCTGTTGTTGCAGTTTGCGAATAACTCACAGCGAGACAGAAAGATATGATGGGAAAAGCCAGAGAGTTACCCAGAGTGGAAAGAATTTGATGCATTCATGATATACAATCTGGTTTTTAGCTTCTTAAGATTTGAAATTTGATTGGTGTATAACCAAAGACTGGGCTCCTGAGAACTGACTCACACTTAACCAAATTCACAAGAGACCAATATGTAAGCCAGAATTTCAATTGATTAATTTATAATGAGAAGTATACCTTCCAAATGGAGCAGATACTAGTGTTGATGATCAGTGCGTTTTCTCCCTGTAGAATATTTACATGAGGAGCTAAATGACAATAGGAGGTTGCTTGGTGAGGATGCACTCAGAGCAAGGGGAGTTCATAAGACGTTTTAATGGCTCACATCATCAAGCTGTGATAATCTGAGAGCTCCTCTCCACAGTAGGGTTAGACCTCCAGAGTAGATCTGGGAATCTTAGCCACCCCACTAGTCTCTCTGCCCTACATTCTTGCCCTCATACAAACCAGATAATCTATGTAAGCCTAGATCTGATCATATTATCGATATGTTCTTTTGGCTTTTTCTAAATTCATAATTTGAAGCTTATTACAAAAAGTATAAAATATACAGATAAGTTGAAAATGCAATGCAATGAGCATGCATTTGCCATATTTGGTTTATGTATGTGTGTGCTCAGGTGACGTGTGTATTAAGTCCATGCTCTTTACTTTTTTAATTAATTTTATTGACACATTTTAGGTATTCAATATAATGACATTCATCATTGGAAATGTGTACCTTTACATAGTCTATCTTGGTTCTTATTTCTTTCCCCTTTCCTCTGCCCTCCCTTCAACCCTCCACCCCTCCCTCTTTACAAAGACTTTGTTTCCATTTTTTCATTTTCACGTATTCATTCCATTCCCTTCTTTCCTTTCCCCAGTCCCTAAGTCCATACACTTTAACACAGTTTTCTAAGCCACTCATGTTCTGGTATGACCTACTTAACTAGCTTCATGTTGTTTGGCTCACCTTTGGCAGCTCACATTCTAGTAATACCCATCTACTGAATATTAGTTCTCTGAAGGTTCTCTTAGGTTCTCATATATTATTGCTTATACCTGAGGACCATTGCCTTCTTTGCTGGGTAACTCTCTTTTTTCCTAAAGACTTAGCCCCATGCATATTCCCATGACATCCTATGCTTTTCCTAATCATGACATTTATTATTTTATGTTGTTATTGTCCTTTTACCTCTTTCATCCATCCCTCTAAATTGTGAACTCATTGAAAGCAGGAACTGTTTCCTTTATCTCTATATGCCCTAGCATTTTACTACTAGGTATTTAGTAATCAGAAAATCCAGTTGCATATCACAAAGTTCTACCTGGTTACATCTTGAGTACCTCAAGATCAGCATGTCTAAAGTGAATTTCTCTCCTCCTATCCACTGTATACATAAAACCCTACTCTATCATTCCCTAAATACCATTCAGTTCTCAAAGCCAAAGATTTCAAAGCAATCCCTAACTCCCCCTTTTCTTTTATCACCTAAACATATCTCCAAGATACCTCAATTCTCTCCACTCCTCTTCCTCTCCACTACCTAACTATTCCAGGCCACCTTCGCTTCCCATCTGGAGCACTGCCAACAGTCTTCTATTGGACTCCTGACTGCTACTCTTGTCCCCTCCATTCTCTTATCCACAGAGAAAACACAATGATCTCCAAATTTGATATCTGATATCATATCCCCCTTAAGCCCTGATTATATTATTTTTTGGCTTTGGCTAAAGTTCAAATTCCTTATATTACCCAATGGACTCTCAAAAACTGGCCCCTGTGTACCTCTCTAACTTTATCTCCTACCACTTTCCCCTTTGTACTCCAGATTCCAACCATTTTTACTTTCAGGGCATGTAGTAATTGTAGTTTCTCAACATTTTCAGTTTCATGTTTCAGTGCCTTTGCTTGTGTTGTTCCCTGACTAGAAAAGCTAATCATCTCAAATTTAGCACAAGTCTAGCCCCCTCTGGGCTACTTTCTCTTATCTCCTGTTCTAGGTTAGGTGCCTATTCTCTATTATCCACTACTGCCATGTGCATATCTCTGTCTTAGCACTCAAGCCATATACTTACGTCACTGGACACATGCAGTTATCATTTTACTTGTCTTTTTGGGTGTGTGTGTGTGTGTGTGTGTGTATGAGAGGTTGAGAGAGAGAAAGAGAAAGAGAGAGAGGAAGAGAGAAAGAGGGAGAGGGAGAGGGAGAGGGAGGGAGAGGGAGATGACTGAACTTTTTGTGCTATGTTGCCCAGGCTGGCCTGGAACTCACTGTGATCTTTCTACCTCAGGCTCCCAGTTACTTGGTTTTCATCAAACCTAATTTACAAGCTCTTTGAGGGTACAGTTGAAGCCTCATTCAATGTCTTAGCCCAATATTTAGTTCATGACATATAGTAGATGTACAATAAATGTTTGTGTAAAAAATAATGAATAAATAAGCATTAGTAAATATCTCTTCAAAGTTCATTTTTGTAGATACCTTATAAGATACCCCCTTTCTTTTAAACATATTGTTTCTTCAAGGTACAATAAAGTTGACTGCCATTCAAGTAATATTGGTGGGTTGAATTTTGAGGGTATTCTTCATAAACAAATTGTGACAATTTCTCAAATTATACCATTTCTTAGAGATGGATAATCCTACTTATTTCTTTACTTCTTGGTAATTTTAATCTCATACATTAACATCGATATTTAGGGTATGGCGCAGAAATATCCTTTTGGGTAGACCTCCTTTGTGGAAGGTGAAGAAAGGGGACTTGCTGTGGAGGAGTATGAAAATAATAATTCTTTTTTTAAAGACCAAGATTCATTTTAGAAGAGGCATTTGATACAGTATATTTAGCCTGGGATAAGGGTACTAAAGAAATTGGCATGTATGACGCTTGTTAGGAATTGGAAAGGAGAAAGG